AATATTTTATTAAATTATTTAAAAAATAGTATTTACTCTTTAATTTTCCAAGCAAATTTGCCTGGAATACAGTTTAAGGGATAACATTTCCATCCCTTTTAAAAATAAGCACTGCAAATTCTAATTGATTCTAGGAGTTCTAAAAAATCTTCATCACTTAACTCTTTTAAGTTAGTGAATATTATCTTCATAGTAAAGCAAAGTCTTAATAGTCTACATATTTGGAAGATTTAATAAACTTATTCAGAGCATTTCTATATTCTATCAGCTTGTCGAGGGCTTAAAGATTTCTTTAAAGTATTTCGAGTATACTTTAGTTTTTGTCTATTTTCTTTTATGCTTTTTTGTAGTTATTTTAAGTAGTAGCATGCTTCAAGAGTTTTAAGAACTTGATCTCATTGTTTTTCTCGATTTTCTTCTTTCAATCAAGAGATTATTTCTTTGAGCTTTTCTTTAAAGATAGTTTCTATTAAAGGATTTAGTCTTATAAAAACTTCTTCTATATCTTCTATTATATCATCAATGAATTTAGTAAGGAGGTCATTTAAAAGAAGTTGATCTTCTTCTTGGTCTGATTCTTGGAGAGAGAATTCTTCTAAAATTTCTTTGTTCAAATTTTCTTTTTCTTGTTGAGAGAGCATGGTTGTTCTTCTGTTTCTAGAAGTTCATCTAAGTTTATGCTAGGAAAAAGACTTTCAAATATTCCTGATTCATTTTCTATTATCAGGTTTGTAGTTTCTGTTTCTGTTGGTATTGTTATCATTAAGAAAATATTTGTTTTATTCATTACAGAAACTTGATTTCTTGTAAGAACTAAACTATAGTTTGTTGTAAGAGAGTCTTGATTCCAAATAGTCAGGAATTCATTTAGTGCATTCAAGGTTTAGAGTTGTAATTATTAAGTGTTTAGGGTATCTATTTTTGAGGTATTAATTAAAGAAGTAACTATTTTAAGAATTTCTAATTTAGAAAAAATTGTTGGAATAAGGTCTATATTTATAAGTTTTGATATTATACGAGAGGTAAATCAAAATGTTTCATGAATTTGGCATGTAAGTTCCACTAGGTTTGAAAAATTTTTTCCAAAAATCTTATTTGTCTATTATTATTATCAGTTGCTAATTTTGTTTTTCGTAATATCTAGCTAATCTATCACTATTGTAATACTTCAATAGTTTTTTTTCTTCTAAATTTTGGAGTTTATAAGCTCCATTGTTTAGCTTTAATTTAATTATAAAGGGTTCACTTCTTTTGTCTTCGAATTTAGCTGATCTTGAATTTTCTAAGTCTTTTCTTTGTATCCAAACTTTGTCTCCAACTTTGAATTCTTCTTTCTGAATATTCATATCAAATTTAACTTTCTGTTTCTTCTGGGATTTCTCTGTATTTTTGTGAGCTTCATTATGTTGATAAGGAAGTTCATCTATTAATTCAAATACTTGTTATAATATACTATCTTTTAAGGTTATTTCTTTGTCTGCATCTATATTTTCTACAGAGATAAGAACTTCAATTAGCATTTTAGCCTAGCATCTATAGGTTAATTCAAAAAGAGTATATCCTGTAGTAGAATATCTTTTTGTCTGATATGCAAATAAGATAGCAGATATATATATATCCTAGTCTTTATCTTGTTTTTTCACTTTTGCAAGAGAGTTGCAAAGTGTTCTATTTAATCTTTCTACCATTCCATTTGTCTGCAGATAGTAAAAAGAAGAAAATATATGCTTAATCAAAAACTTTTCACAAAGTATTTTGACTATTTTACTAGCAAAATTCTTTCCATTATCTGAGAGTATTACTTGAGGTACTCCATATCTACAAACAATATCTTCAAAGATAAATTTAGCAAGAGTTTCTGCTCCTGCGTCTAGTATGGCTTTAGCTTCTGGTCATCTTATTAAATAGTCAGTAGCAATAATAATATAGTAATTATTTTGTTTAGTAATTAAAAGAGGTCCTACTAAGTTAATTCTAATTCTTTTGAAAGCTTATCTATTTGGATAGAGTGGAGAGATTCTTTTCTTTTTGTCTTTTCTTATCGTTGGCATACTTCATATACTTAGATATAATTTTTAATATCTTTATACATTTGGTCTCAATAATATTAGTTTGCTATTTTGTAGTATATAGCATTAATATATAAATGTTTAGCTGTTGAGGTACTATGCATCATATAGAGAACAAGTTCTACTTCTGTTCATCTAATTACTCGAATTAATTTATCTAGCTATCTTCGATTTTTCTTATATAATATTCTGTTTTTAACTTCATAAATCTAAATTGTTTAATTAATATCCATTTTTCAAAGTCTATTAAATCAAGAAGAAATTCATCTGTTTCTAAGTATTCTAAGAGATTTTGGTAATTGTCTAAATTTATTTCTTTAAGGTTATAAGGGAATGTGTCTGAGTCTTTAATTTAGAGAGTAAATCAATATTAGAATATTTTTGTTCTGATTTATAAATCACAGTAAAGCAATAAGGTTGTAATTTTATCATCCATCTTCCTAATCGTCTTTTAGGTTAGGAAAATTTTAACTATTGGAGGGCTGAATAGTCAGTGACTAAAGTAAAATAATTTGTTCCAAAATATTTATAAAAATGTTCTATTGTCTATACTATAGCAGTATGTTCTAATTCTGTTGCTCTATAGTTAACTTCTTTTTTTTTGAGACTTTTACTTGTATAGGCAATAGGATATTCTTTTCCATCATCTGCAATTTGACTTAAAGTTGCTCCAAATCTATCATAAGAGGTATCAGTTAAGAAGATAAATTCTGTTTTATAATTAGAGTAGATTAGGATAGGGGCTATAACTAATCTTTGTTTGAGTTCATCAAAAGCTTCTTGTCATTATTAGTTTCATTTATATTGAGTATCTAGGTGTAATAGCTAATTTAGAATTTGGGCTATAGAAGAGAATCTTTTAATGAATCTTCTATAATATCTAGTGAGTTCTAAAAATGAACAAAGTTGAGATACATTTGTAGGAAGAAGAATAGTTTGCACAGCTATAATCATTTCTGAGTCTGGTGAAATTCTTTTAGCTTCTATAATATATCCTAAGAAAAGTAATCATTTCATCCAAAAGGTATATTTTTTTAAGTTAAGCTCATATCAGCGCAAACACAAAATTAGGCCTTTTTTTTAGTCATTAAAAATATAATAATCAAATCAAAATAGATCCTAAAAATCTATGTCTAAATATTTTTCAACTAAATAAACAGTGTCAACTTATTAAGTCTAGCCTATTTCCCAACCCTTTTGCCCATTTCTCTTTAATATAGTAATATATATTCAAGTATGTAATTAAGACTCAAGAATTATAAGTATTTATTTATATTTATTAAACTGTTATTATATTAAAACTCTTACTAACACAACTTATAAAAAAAACAAAATGAGCAACGATAGTGCTTTATGTTCTTTATATAATAAAATGTTAAAAAACTTACGTAGATTATATATACATCAAAAGGCTATTCATTAAACAAATACAAATTCTGATTGTTTTTCATGTCCACATTGCTCTCAAACTTACAAAACCAAAGGTGGCTTATGTCATCATAAAACTCTTAAACATTATAATTACAATATACCTGGTAATTTTTTTAAACTTCTACAAAATCATATTAATGAAACAAAAGAAACTTTAGTCTATTTAATTAGATCTCAGCTTATGCTACATTCAAATTATTCAGGTCTTCAAACTGCTTCTTCACTAATGACTGAATTAGAATTTGTGTGTATATTTCAAGATCATATTCAACGCTATTCTATTTGCTAGCAGAAATATATATGCCATTTTGGAGGATATGATACGTACAATACCTTGATTCATATTTTTAATAATACAAATTGGGGTAAAAGAGTTTTTGAATATGGTTAATAGTCAGAAGTTATACTTGTATCAAATTCTGCAAGATCTACGAACAACATCAAACCTTTAAGAAGTTCCCTTCAAGTAAACTCTGAAAACCTAGAAATTATTATTATATGGGAAAAAAAAAAATTAATGATGAAGAAGGAAATATATCGATAACAGGATGGATTACGCTAAAATTTTTAGTAGGACAATTT